CGGGGAACGGGAACGGGAGCGGGAACGGGGAATGGGAATGGGAACGGGAACGGAACGGGGAATGGGAATGGGAACGGGAATGGGAACGGGAATGGGGAATGGGGGCGGGATGGGGAATGGGAACGGAAACAGAATGGGAACGGGAACGGAACGGGAACGGGAAACGGGAATGGGAACAGGGAATGGGAACGGGAATGGGGAACGGGAACGGGAATGGGGAACGGGAACGGGAACGGGATGGGAACGGGAATGGAACGGGGAACGGGGAATGGGAACGGGGAATGGGAACGGGGAATGGGCCTGGGAACAGGAAAAAGAACCGGAGCGGCATCAGAACCAGCCACAAGAACGCCAACGGGACCCGAACAGGTTTGGTAATGTGGCTGCGTCCCTGGGCCCCGCCTCCCCACAGTGACCGCTTTTGGGCTTTCCCTCAAAATGTTTTTCTCCAGTGCACTTTTCAATATCTTCGCAATTTTTTTAAAAATCCATGTTTTTACTCCTTTATATCCATATATTTTTTTTTTCTTCCCCACCTCGGATGTAAATTCCCTTTTATTGCGCCTGCCCAGCCTTGTCCCCTTGCCACCCCCCACCCCAACAAATCCTTCACTCCCCTTTTCCCTCTGCAATCCCGATTTTTAGCACCCACCACWGCCACTTTATTAGGAAGTGAAACCCCTGTCAGATCACAAAAAGCCCTGAAAATCCTTTCCAAAAATCAACATCTCTCTGCAYGAAGGTGAAAACAACTTTCAAGGARGGTTTTTCCAAGSAATACCTGKTTTGCACGGAATGAGCTGRCAGCAGGGTTTGSTTTCCCAGCTGTTCAATTCCAAAGCCAGATGGTTCCAGGCAGGTAACCGAGCAGGATTTCACTCCATTAAGCAGCCCCAGACTGGGCTGGAACCCTCCAGCGCTCTAATAAAGCATTAAAAATTCATAGCATGGCAAAAACCCAAGAGTGCTATTTGTTTTGCTAAAGCAAATCTTACACATTCGGCGAAATTAAGATCATCAGCAAAAAAAAAAAAAAAAAAAAAAAGACAGCAAATGTGTATTTTTTTCACAAGTAGCTTCTTGATGGCAGAACTTGCTTCTGTCACTGCCAGTTCCCCTCTTCCCACTTTGGCAGCTCCAGTTTCTTGCATCCATCACGATTCCTGCTCTGATTCCAACTGGGAATGGGCAGTGTTTTACTGGATTTTCCTTCCAGCAGCCCAATTCTTCCATCTGACCAGGCTGCAGGAGATTCCTGATCCCTGGAAGTGTTTGAGGGGACTTGGAATGACCTTTGGAATGTGTTCCTGTCCATGGCAGGGCTTTGGAATGAGATGGGATTTAAGGTCCTTTCCAACCCAAACCATTCTGTGGTTCTGAGTAGGAGAGAGGGTTTGGGAAGGATTTTGTTTTTAGGTGAGCAAAGTTGATTGTGCTAAAATTAATTAAACAAAAAAATTAAAAATCAGGGGGAGGGAAGTGGTGACCAAATGAAGAGCAGGGAAATAATCATGGAGTTCCAGGATGGTTTGGGTGGGAAGGGATTTCAAAGCTCATCCCACTGTCTCAGGGTGCTCCAACCCAGCCTTGGACATTTCCAGGGATCCAGGGGCAGCCACATCTTCTCTGGGAATTCCATCCCAGTCCCTCCCCACCCTCACAGGGAGGTTCAATCCCTTAAATGTTGCTCCACATCCCTCCCATCCTGGCACAGGGGGGACTCTGTGCACTCCCAGCTCATTGGAGCTGGATCTGGAACAGGGAAT